AGGAGTAGGAGTAGGAGTAGTGGGAGTAGGAGTAGGAGTAGGAGCAGCAGCAGCAGCAGTAGCAGTAGACGTAGTAGGTAGAAGAGGTAGAAGTAGAAGGGGTGGTACCGCCATGACTGTCAGCAAGGTTTGCGCTATTACCATCTGAGCGCTATGACCTCTATGTTTCCGGTATTACTGAACATACTGAATGTCGCGCCGTAAATGCAACTTTGGCTTGCCAGCGTGCTGCTAGTCTACACCGGCTGGGCTGCCGTGCACTCCCAGGTTGCAGTAAAGTCGCTGGTCAATACGCTGAACAGCGACAGAAAGGACTCGTGCCAAAGCCGCATGAGCCTCCACAGCAATTTGCGACGCCAAATTCTTTCTCAGGCTCTCCAAACTGAATGATCAACGGGCACCGCGAGACCAGCAACTTGAACAATGAGGGTGCCAGAGATTTAAGCCATGGTTTCTGCCACCGGGCATAGGCTTCGAATATGGTGCAGGGAACGGAGTTGAAGCCAATGGAAACCTTGATACTTTGAACCTCAGACACTGCGGGGGTCGGAGGGGAGACGAAGGGCACCTCGCTCTCTCTGTTCTGCACCGGGTGCGGTGCGGCTGCTCTCGTGGCAGTCGCTGGCACTGGCGGCGCTGGTGCTGCGGCCGGCCTGCGCATTCTGAGATTTTCGGTTACCCTAAACACAACCCTAAACCCTATAAACCCTTAACCTAAACCCTTTAAAGCCAAAGACTAGGCCCAAATCGTCCCAATTTCCGACACTGTCTTCACCCTGACGCCTGTCGGTCTTTGCCGAGGCTTTTGCTTTGGCTCGACCCTTCGGCACTGCGCGCGGAGGATACCTGGATTGTGGACTGCAAGGCGTGGGGGGGGGTCTTTTCCTAAATGAGGTCTGGATGGCAAGCTCAGAAGGGCCGTAGGTCGGAGACATCCCGATGCATAAAACCGGCCTCGTCTCTAATTCATCGTCGATGCTCGAACTCCCAGGACCGTCCTTATGGCGCGAAGCGGAAGGTCACTGCCTGGCCCCTCACATCTGCCCAAACGCGAGATGCCGAAACTCTGCCCTTGCTTGCCCTTCGAGACAAAGGACGTATGACCTTTGAACCCCAGCTCCTAAACCCCAGAAAGCCTCAATAACCTGAAGTCACGAAACCTTAGCCTTACAGCTGAAAGAAGCAAGGCTTCGGAAGCTCTGCCAAAGGACATCGGAGAAGGCACCCTGAACCCTCCAAACGTCACTAGGGCCCCAACAGGCAGCTTTGGCCAGTCGCCCTCCTGCGGCGCCTGCAGCAACCAAATTCAAGAGTTACACAAGGGTTTGCGTTATCTCGGCCGGATTCACCGCAGATACCCAGCGACACACACCAATGCGTCATCATGCGAGTATAGATGCATGCCTAGTCAAGGTGAACCGACATCCCGGACACTGCACGCCAGTCCCAGACCAGCTGTGCTGCTGTCACTGCTCTTCAGATCTGCCGATTTATGGATCGAGTGGAGCATATTTAAGAAGAAACAAGGTAATTACGTCAATATTTTGGCCTGGCCATGCTTGTGAAAGGTGGAGCCTAACGCACTTTCTCGGTCGACACAGATCTGGTGTCTGGTCCGTTAAACCTTTCACGGAATCTGGGAATGCATGCTGGCCATTGTTGGCGTTTGCGGGTGTCCAACCGTCTGTTCCACCTTTCCTTTCGCTGTGAGCTACTTTCTTTTGGATCCTTCATGCCTGCACTCTCTGCACTACTCCTCCTTCCTATCTCCCGTTGCAGCAAAGACACCGGAAACGCTGATCTGCAGGTGCAAAGGAAATGCCACACACGGCCTTCGGCGTCCCTCTTGGGCGCATGAAGTGAACCGTCCCGCCGCAGGCCTCGCAAACAGGAGTCGCCGAACCCGAAGCCATAAACTCTAAACCCTAAACTCCTAAACCTTAAACCCTGAACTCCTAAACTTTAAACTCTACCAATCTCCTAAACCCTAAACTCCTAAACCTTAAACCCTGAACGCCTAAACCTTGAAACAACTCTAAACCCTAAACCTGTACCTCTATAGCTCTTTTAAAGCCCGACCCTAATCTCTCCAGCTTAAACTCTAAACCCGAGGCTCTAAACCCAAAACCTTAAACTCGTAAGCCTACACTCTACGCCCTAACTCTAAGCCCGAAACCTTGACGTCTTCAGTTCAAGATCTAAACCCTAAAGCTTCAACGTAAGCCTAAACTCGGAACTCAGAACCAACTAGACCGTAATTCACGAAACCCGGCACCATATACTATTAGGCCTTAACTCTAAGCCCTAAACCTCAACCCCTCGAAAGCCCAAACCTGAGACTCTTGAGGCCAAACATGCCTAAACCTTTAAACCCCCTTGGAGAACCAGCCCCCCCGCCTCAGCTTCGGCCAGCTCCACAGCCCAGCGATCACTCGTCGCCTTGGATTTCGCCTTCGCCTTCGCCTTCGCTTTGGGCGCGGGAGCCTCCTCACAGGAAATTCTCCGAGGAGCAGAGACGGAGGCCAACAAGGACAGCGCAAGACGGAGCAGACGCAGAAAGGCGACATGTGCGTGTCACGGCACCGATACACTCAAGCTGAGTGTGAGCCTCGTCCACGCCGGTGGGTGACTGTTTACGGCTGCGGAACGTGGACGAGGACAGCTGCTGAATGCTCGTACCGGTTCCAGTGCTTCGTGGCGTAACACGCGGATTCCAACCCCCAGCCCCAACCAAGCATCCTCGCGGTAAGATGTGGCGCCCATCGAGATGTTCACGGTGGTGCCTGCAAATGCCTAGATAATTGCAGCATCGTCCCGAATCCAACCGCGCGCCTTCATCCCCGATTCGTCTGCGGGCTTTCTGTGACATTTTGACGGAGTGTGCCTGCGGAGATCATGGGCAACACAAATCAGCTGTTTACATGGGCAAGGAGCCAGTATCGGTCATGAACTCGGTCGTGGGCTCATCAGGCAGTGATCATGAAGGCATCGGTGTGACAAAAGGAAAGCTGTACGCACACTAACTTTGATCGAGCTTGTACGAGTGGGCCTTCACCTCGTGCAGCCACCTCAGCCAAGTGTGACCAAGAATCGACCACGAACCCCATCCAAAAGGCAGCACGCACAAGGGACCGGAGCTCTTCGTGCCAGGAAACAACTCGTCTTCTGTGTTGAAGGCAACCAGGCGCAGGGAGCCCCGTTGGCATTTCTCGTGCTTGCATACGTAATGGTCCTCCTGGGACAGAACTCCGCTCGTCGTACGTTTCATCAAGATCCCCCGCCCCTCCTCCTAACACCTCTTAACATCGGAGACTGCAGTGTCTGCAAAGATTCTGCTAAGGTCTGGCGGCATGACCCGCAATATGTGCTGCGCAGAAGGATGACACAAAATGCAGTTTGCATGGTGGCAAGGTGCACTATATACACTGCTTGAGCACGGGCACATAACAACAAAGAAGTAAGACAATGATAAGGATACACGCTGGTGTGTGGGTGTATATATGCACTCATAGCCATACACTGAATCAGAAATACACGCACATGCTCGTGTGCTTGCATGTATGCATCTATGCGCGTATCATACCAAAAGTCTCTCTCTGTCCGGGTAATTTTCATATGCAAGCACACATTCAAAAACTCACTGCGAAGTCCAAGTGTTGATAGGGGGTGTGACACTTCGACGAGAAGTACATAGAGATCTCGCATTACCCTTTGCCTTACACACTCCAAGTTACACAAAGCCTCCTACTGCTGCTTCTGTACATTAAACAAAGTGGGCGAATGTATCCTTGGCTCTTCCTGAACTGGGTTGGGCAAAGCAGCGCCCTATCGCAAAACCGGAAATCAAGAGGGCAGGTGCTGAAAACACGAGCACGGACACATTGCAATCATGACCATTAGATATTGCACTGTTAGTAGATAGTAAGGTTCGTTACCTTCGGCTCCTCCTTAAACCATTATTGCCAAGCACAAGCTCCCCTGCGATGTATGGAATACTAATTTGCCTCGCTGAGTAGAACTCGGCCCTCCTCGCCCCCAAATTTGTTTCACCGTGAATATTCCTGTTGTTGTCAGAGTATTAGAAGTTCATCAGTGATGGGTACAGCCCTTCAAATGCCTCCACTCCTGGACACTCCTTGCGGTTTCTGTTAGACAGTGTTTTCTCTTTGATAGTCAGACATAGGTTTACAACAGACGGCAGTCTTTGTTAGACAAGTTTCTGCAAGACAGTGCTTCTGTTGAACATGGGTGTCTGTTAGACTTGGGTTCTGGTAAACAGGGGTGTGTAAAAGATACGGGTTGCTGCTAGACACGGCTTTCCGACCAGGTTCGTTGGACAGGGCTTTCTTTTTGACACGCGCTTCTGCTAGGCGCGGGTTTCTCTTAGACAGGGTTTTCGTTAGACAGGGGTCTCTGTGTGACAGGGCTTGTTGTTAGACAAGGGTTTCGGATAGACAATGGCTTTAGGAGTTCTGATTTAGATGGCCTGGCATGACTTGGTTCTTCGAGTTCACAGCCTTTCAATGCAGTTAAGTCTGGCTCAGCATATATACACATGTGGTGCCAAAGCCTACTGGGGTAAGTTAAAGAACCTACGAGTATTACGGTACTGATTATGTGAATTTACAGCGTCCTGTAACGACAGGCAACTTTTCAGAAGCAGGCCTCGTAATGTAAGGACAGGTGGTTGTAGTCGTAGTAGTATTCGCCTTTTCTGCCCAGCTTTTCGCCTCAGTAAAGGGGGGCGACTCCTGGTGTGCATTTGGCTTCATTTGGACCCATCCTAAAAATGATAGTCGTGCTTCTGATGCTGGCAAGACCACCAATGGCAATCAGAGGTGGTGGCGGTGGTGGTGGTACCACGAAATCACGACCAGGACCTACGAGTGCGACTGCAACGACTTCGAGCATGACGACGACAGCGATGCACACTGGTAGCAGCAGCAGCAGCAGCAGTACAGCTCCCACGGAATCTTTTTTCGCAAGGGCCCCTCACGGTTGCAGCCAAATACGGGTACACATAAACCAGAAAGTCTCAGCTGCACTCCCCTTTCCCCACAATTCCCCTTCTCAAAACTCTCTGCGGACTGCTTGAACTGCAGGCAAAAAAAGGGACGCGGGAATGTAGGACTGCAGGGGCTTGAAAGGGACATGGGGCTGCAGAGGGGCAGGCTGCAGGGGAATGCGTGCAGACTGCAGCAACATTCAGCAACCACAGGAGCGTAGGCCGGACCATCGAAAGTAGGGATCGCTACTTATAATATTAAGGGCAAGCAGGTACCATACAGCACCGGGACTGATGTCGCCAGGCCACATAAGCCGCAGGGCTGATGTTTCATCTGCATGTGCTCCAACAGATCCTTCTCACGGTGACTGCAGGTACAGCCACGCAAAGTCTTGGGTTTCCGGATGTTTCAGGAGTTCAGCACGGCTGGAGGTCCTCTTCTGAGTAGAAGCTTTTCTTGCAAAAAGCACAAGAGGCATGTGATGGACACGTTGGCAACTTGGGACCTCAGAAACGCTGCAAATAATCCTTGAGCCCGTCAACACTGCTGAGCTTCTTGCCCACAGTGCTCGGCGTGTCCCCGTCTTCGTGATGTCTCCGCAAGTCATCCGGTGAGTAGAGCAGTTGCTCAAAGAGGAAGGCTTTGCGTCCTGCAATGCCAGCGTCTGATTATCAAAGCTTCTTCCCCGCTTGGGCCATGGAAGGCTTCGCAAATAAGTTCCTAAGCGGGGCTCCGAATTCAGGCTTTGGTTTCTTCAGCATTGACTGAACGGCCTTATCCAGCAATGAAGACCGAGACTGACTTTTAAACCTTGGATCAGTTTTGTCCGCGCAGACAAGAAGACTATGCCATGTGCCTCGCAAACATGTCGAACAAAAGCGACGTCGATGCACTTGCTCTACGTGGCGTTGAAGAGCCTGTCAGAGTTCGGCAGGTGACAGATGTTCGACACATACACCACTGCCGTTCCTCCAGGGTAGGGAAGCACTCGTCCTTCTCCACGCAGCTTCTCTGCCAGCAGCGATAATCGAACCTCACACACAAGAAATCAAGCCAGACGTCCATGCAGTTAAGCATGAAGCAGCTGCTTACAACCAATCTGCTTCAGTGCAGTCCAGGATGCAGTCCTTCTACGTCCTCGCGCACGGAGGCGCTACTGTAAACGAGTCCAAGCCTTGATGCGTCAACAACATCTGAGTCAGGCACACTCTCTACAGTGTCAGATGCAGGCATTAACACCTCATACTAGCAGTCATGACAACAGTCGTCATCCTAATGATAGAAAGCAAGAGCAGCGATAGCGGCAGTAAAGTTTCTCCGCTGGCATGACAGACCTGCCACCCCTGCCGGGGCACGCGAGATCTGCTCTGTCTTGGCCCTTCACAAGTCCTAAGCACTAACCCCTATAGACCATAATGGATTTGTTTGCTGTGAAAATCCGATACAGCTCACTTGTCGAATTCATGAGCCCGGTATGATCCTGTTACGATACTTCCCACCTCTTTGTCCGCAGACTGCATGCCACCCCAGCGGACCCCAACTTAGACTCAGCCCATTTCCAAGGCGGGTGATATTGAACCGGATGCCGCTCCAGGAATGCAATGCCAGTTGTTAGTCCGTTCTGATTGAAGACCAGGGCACTACTGGTAGTAATACGAACACTGAAAATAGTAATAAGCATGAAAAATTACAGATGTTGATGGACTGCTTCCGGGTGGCTTGTCATCTTTGAGAGCATTTCGTGCCGGTACTCGACCATCTGGCGTGATTGCCATCTCTGTGATGGGTACTTTGCAGACCTGCGTGTACGGTCTACGAATACTGTCGAAGCAGAGAAGCGACGAAACGTCAATGCAAGCGCCAAGTGACCGGACAGTTGATGTCCTTCATGAGGGTGCGAAGCCTCCGCCAAAACCATGCATGTTCAGACGGGCCCTTACCCTTACGAAACTCTGACGAAAAGCCTTCCAAGCAAGCCGAAAGGAGCCGAAAGGCTCCCTTAAGCAGGCCTGATGATGCAGATCCAGCAGACTTCCGCATGCCCACAGTGGCCCACAGCCACATACTTGGGTCCTCGACACACGTTCATGCAACGACTCTTGGAGCTTCTCCAAGCTTCTGCAAAACTTAGAACGTGGCGCTCTTCGCAACAAATGAGGCATCCTCGGATTCGCTGCGGGGGGGAAAAGACTAACACAGTAGAACCTGACAGAATGCCACACCAGGTATCAAAGTACAGCACGATCTATATGATCTAAAGATGATATGGCTCGGGGGAGCTCCGATCCTTAAAAAGACGAGCCTCGCTCCAAGGCGCTGCCACGAGCTTCGCTCGGTGCCGCAACGCCGCAAAAGGCCACCGGTGCCGGTGCCATCCGGGGCAGAAAATCGGGGGCTTTGCGACGGGGAAAATCACGGCACCCTGGGTGTTGCCGGATGCTGGGCTGCTGAGCTTTGGATGGGCTTGTAACATCAGGCTGAGCTCACGCAACTCTCGTGCTGAGGCGAAAACGACCCGTCTGTCTTCTCGGTGTTTTTTCGGAGGCTGAATCGGCTGGATGCAAAAAGCGGATCTCTCGCGTAGGCTGAGAAATTGTTGTGCTGCTTGAACCTGCAGGATGCAAGCACAGTCCGCAGTCTGAAGCATAATCCTGCTTGCAACCTTTCGCAATAAGCCGTGTGCAGTAGAAGCATGAGAGACTTGGTTATGATACGATTCAACACGTTTCATTGAACCCTCTTTTGGTCGTGGTAGTGGTAGTTGTAGTGGTAGT